CTGCTGGTATCGCTAACGAATAACTATGGTACTCCATCATTGTTAAAGTTGTTGTGACGAATTATATCCCATCATATTCAAGGTGGTCCATCGATAAATTTCCACCCAAGTTCTCTCCGTTGTAGCACCCAGTGAAAAACGGCTGGGACAGGTCGATTTAATTTTTCTGCAATTATCATATTCCAAAGTTGAAACCTTGAAAGAGTAACGGGCATCAACTTTTTATCTTCAAATTTAACACCCTGTATTTCATTGCATTTCTAGATTCTTCCTGAAGAACCCGATCTCTTCAATAAATCAAGGGGTCTAGAGGCAATGATGGAAGAGATAAAGGATGTTCAAAATCGAGATTTTTCAACTTGAGGACTTTCTTGTGGCGATACTATTCATTGTCGGTCAAAACGGCTCACATGCTCCATGTTAACTTTCGATTCACTATCTACTGACATTTCATTGGAGCAGATACAGGGTGATTAGAATTCTGAATCTTGAACCACCTTGTATTATGTTCCTATTATTCGCCACTTCGCCAGTAGAAAGTAGGTATATCAAAAGTTGAGACAGGGACATGTGAGCCGTTCCGACCGATGATGAATAATTTCGATACAAAAAATTATACTAAAGTTGAAAAATCTCGATTTTGAATAGTGATTCACACGAGACCAACGAGACGAGACTTTCATAAAGTCTCGTCTCGTCTCGCAGATGCAATGAGAAGTCTTGTCTCGAGTCTCGCCTTGTCTCGCGTCTCGTACGAGAGTCTCGCAAATGTATCGCAATTTCGTCATGCATAATCTTGTTCCAGTCTAGTACGAGATATTCACCTATAATTACTTTTTAAGTATAACGTAGAAGTAGGTACCTAGGAAGCGAAAATTACAACAAAAATAACATTATTTATTGAAGAGTAAGTTCCTAATAGGTACATACTTCATACATCTAAACAAGAAAAAAAACATAGCATTATAAATTTGAAAGTTATGAAAATAAAAGTAGCACGTATATTCTAAACAAATAAACAAAACAAAAACTTGAATCCAACATTATTTTACTTTTCAAGAAATAGGTATCTAAGAAAAAAACCTTCGTCATTCAGATCAGCCTTCACGATCGCAAATGTTTTTTCATAAAAAACATCGTGCAGATTGGCGATTCCGATGTTTTCTTATAGTTAACGCAGCACGTGAAAATAATCTTTTCGCCGGGACTGAAGTAGCCGGTATTTATGGATGAAATTTTTTGTCTATATGTGCTAAATAGTCTGAAGTCTTTCTAAATATGTTGTATTATGAATGGAATTCTCAAGTCTGCAGTCGGAACGCAAAAATATTTACCTGCGAGACTCTCGCACGATACACGAGAAGTCTTGCACGAGACTCGATACGAGACCAATAAAAGTCTCGTCTCGTCTTGTCTGAGTCTCGTCTCGAGTATTGTCTCGAAAACGAGACGAGACCATGCGAGACTTTCGAAAACTAGACTCTCGCGGGCACCACTAATTTTGAACACCCTATATCTCTGTAATCATCTGCTAGACCCCAAAAGTGATATTATCACATCAGGGAGAATCTAAAGAGAAATGAAATACAGGGTGTTCCATTCAAAAATCGAAAGTTGATGCCCGGTATACGCTTCAAGGTTTCAACTTCGGAATAAGATAATTGAAGAAAGATGTTTCCCCTGCATGCCAAATTGAAATCGACCTGTCCGAGGAACACAAGGGAAAAAACATGGGTGGAACGTTTTTGATGGGTCACTCATATCCAACAGTTAGTGTTTATAGGTATTGAACACCATAATGATTTTATGAAACATCAATCATTTTTCAGTTCGAATGGACTTACTAGAAGAACAATATTTTGTAGTGTTATTTGGCGAGAAACAATTTCATAATAGATTACCATTATTTTCTGAACCAAGATATTGAGAGTTGATTCGATCAAAACTCCAGTCTTGCTTTCTTTGTTTGATGATGAGCTCTAACATTCATTCCAATTTTGATTTTCTCCTATACCAACCTATACCCTATACCCAAACGTTATCGTTTATATTCTGCTGGTATTTGCGCATCTGATGTGACTAAAAGCATACTTCCAAATCTTGATTGCATGTAGATATGATCCCACATAACCTATCACTTTTATGATATGATATTATTATGGAATATCACTTTGATTTTAAGGCTCTGCAATTTATATAATCGTATATTTTCCACGTGAGTTGAGTTGTTGATTCTAAAGTAATCACGGAACAGTTAAAATCAACATTTTACTGAATGCATAATAGTTGAAGGTGTCGAAAAACTTTCTATCTCGATTAATTGTGAATACCATATTCTATGCAAGCCCAATCTTACAAAAGAACATGAGCAAAGGCAATTGCTCGTCAATGTATATCATTCGTTCGAACAAGCATTTCTAAGGAATCACATTTATGAACTTACAAAATCACCTGAACATGAAGTAGGTTATAAATCGGATTACCTGACCTCGCAGGGCGGTAAAAATAGCATAAAACAACACTAATTGGTGTTGGTATCACTTACTGGAATATGTATATGCCTATAATCCTGTAGAAAATATGAAAGAGAATATATTATATGATTATTCATGATTCTATTACTCACAAAATCGTCATTAAATTGATTAAATTAGATTTGATTCTTCTATATTTAAACAAAATGCAGCAATTGTTTGATGACGTTCAACTTCTTTTGTGTACACTCAAGTTATCACATAGCTTGGATCCGTCTTCATCAGTGTGCAGACATTATATTATACGACATAAACAAACTGATCTGCATTCTGCTTGCAAGTGCTTGCAATTGTAAAGAATATTGCTCATATAGGTATTTTCAATTCACGAGTTTAATAAAATCCTAGATATTCTTTAGAAATATTTCTTCCATACAAAAAGGTTCAGAGGTGAACGGGATGCCATCATCGTCCTCTTTCCTCTGGACGACTTGGACGATGGACATAGCGCGGCTGAAAACAACGTATATATACCATGTCGATATTATATATACAAGTTCCCTAGTCTTCACATGCCACAGGAGTGTTCTAACTTCATTTTGACATGTATTTTTTCAAGAACTGTTGGAATATGATCCAGAAAAACGGAAGCTGAATGAGGGATATTTCTGTGTAAATATAAGTAATTGATTCAACAATTTTGTATAACCGGTGAGACTTTACGATTTTACGCCATTTCAAATCACAGCGGTACCATGTACCTATGACGAACACTATGATCAGAATAGTTGCGAGTGTAATGATTCTAGAGGGTCTTCAATATTGTCAAAATCTCTCGAAAGTGGGGGATCGTATTATGTTATATTTCAACAACAAGAAGGTTCAATTTCCTCGTTTGTGTCGGCTATTGATGAACCCAATGCATTTCAAATAGGTATTCAAAGTGCTTGGTCGTTACAGGAGCCATGACCTCTATATCAATTTCAGCGATGGAAAATATATTGAACATCATTTCCCTCCTCATCGTCCAGGAAAGATAGGTCAGGATGGTTCCGCACAGACTTCTGTCAGTAAGTAATAAAATTGAAAGAGGTGACTGGGAATAACTTCGCTGTTGTGTGAAATGAGAAAATCTTCAAACCCTATAGGAATGATCCCTGATAATATGATGGCTACTCGGACACATCAGAATCATCACAGAATAGTGAAGTATTTCAAACTCCTCTTTCCAAAGAGAGACAAGTGGAAAAGAGGATGTTCTGTAACCCTGAAGGATGGAGTTGGTGACGGTGATGTATTCAGCAGGAAACCAAAGATTAAAAAATCAGTCAATCTTGGAAGTATATAACATTGTTCTAACAACAGAGTATCTTGTGTCGGTGTTGAGAGACGGTGTAAGTATTGTTACGTGATAGAATCGGGTACTGGTGTAACTGTGGACTGTGTGTATGATTAGGTTTTTACAATAGGTTTAGTGGTTTAGTTATCTCAATCAAACTAACTTCTACGAAAATATCAGCAGAGACGACTATGGGTCGTTTTTATTGTAGTTGAAGTTTTTTGTGAGTGACTAGAGGAAAAAAAAGGTTCGTAGGTGCTCCGTTCTTCAAACTTCTGGTATCGAGACAGAAGTAAATGAAATTTTACAAGTAATGTGAACAACGAAACTTCGATTGAAAATTTGTTAATTTGGGATGATCTGTTTTTGGTTTATGGGTTGATTGGTCCATCATCTTGAGAAATATATTTTTGAATTTGTTGTTTGGATATAGATTTTGTTTAAACGCTTTCAGATTGCATTGAGTTTTTCGCAGTGAATGTGAGTGTTTTTGTTGAACGGTTCACACTATAGGACACCGCTGTTATTTATGATGGCAATATTTCAGGCAAACAGAGACAGAATATATTGGCGAGGAAATTTTCATTATACATTATGTGAATCAGCTGGCGCAAAGTCACAGTGAGAACCCTAAAGATGCTAAAGAGTTGAAGACTGTGATGATGGGGAAATCCACTGAGTACTGAGTGATGAGTACCTCATAGTGGCTTTCCTTCCATGATTTTTTTTATTTTTATACTAGATATCAGCTGTAGAGGTGAATAATTGAAAACCGTTTTGAGTTGAATATTATTCACTATAGTGGAGCTTCAATATCATATTAGTGTAGTTGGTAAACCCTTCACAACGATATTGTGGTTATCTCCCATCCCTGAAGTCATACGAAACGTATAGGTCGCGTGCACGAAGACCGACCCTGAAGGCAAAATATTGAAACACAACCTCATTCTTCTGTCAATTTATAAAACACAACCTCACTTTTTTATTTGGTTACAGAAGAATCAAAAGGTTGAAATAGTTTTTCACAATATTTTGGCATACGAATCGTGTTTCTTGCGTTATTCATTAATTCAAGCATGCCTTCGCATTGTGCTGTTGTACAATGCACGAAAAATGCAGCAAGAGACTAGGGAATATGAGTTTTCAGGTAAATAGTAATCTCACATAGTTAGCATTATGAAATGTTGTCATCCCTTATTGAAATTCCTTCTGCCTTCTGCCACTTCTGCAATACAAGCTAATGCTGCTAATAGATTGAAAATGTCTACAGCACACACGATCGTCAGCATGTCAGACCAGTCCTACCGATTGATTGCATGAATACAATCTTGTTGCATTATTTTAGAAATTTCAGGTATATTTCTATTAGCTGATCCTATTGCAGAAGGAATTCCGATGAGAAATCAGAGAAATAACCAATTTTAAAAAATGAAAACTATGTGAGTGACTATAGTAGGTACTTACCTTTGAATCATAATGTACCATCCGGATTTCTTCATCTTCCGCTGCAGTTTTTGTGCATTTTACAACAGCACAATGTGATGGCATTAGCGAATTGATGAATAGCGGAAAAATACGATTCATATGCCAAAATAATTGTGGAAAACTATTTCGATCACTTGTAAACAAATATGTTTTGCCTCCAGGGTCGGTCATCTGACAGTTCTTGCACGCGACCTATATAGAGTAGGTTTTAGGGTTGTGACAGACTTCACAATCAACTTGACAGGGATTATTGAATTCTCTAGACATTTTCGATTTGATTGGGAAGCTGCACTCTCGAGAGTATGTCGTAACCGCACCTTTGTATTGGACATTAGTCGTATATACTTTGCTGTCTAGCCACCATATGACCTGCATATTATGTATACCAAATGTATTACGCTGCTGAGGCTGAAAAGTACAGGGTGGCCAACTAAGACTCCAGAGTTCGATTTCTCTGTTGTCTTGAGAGATACAAAAAAAAATTCATGGATCAAATTTGAAGTAATAACCGAGCTTCACATTTCAAAATTTCTTTGAAATACACAGGGTGTTCCGTAAGGTCACAGCACATCGAAGCTATGTTTTTTTCATTGGAACACCCTATATTTTACTTAATTTTTGAATTCTCCCTGAAGATCTGATTCCAACGACCCAACATACTTAGGGTCTAGCAGTGAAAGTTACTGACATATGGGGTGTGCAAAATCGAGATTTTCCAAGTTCAGATTTTTTTTTTGTCGAAACTGTTTATGATTCGTCAAAACGGTTTACATGTTCCTATCTCAACTTTTCACTCACTATCAATTGGTGTTCAATTGAAATTGATACAAGGTGGTCAAAAAATCAAAATTTATAATTTGTTTCAATTAAATGTCAATTGAACACCAATTGATAGTGAGTGAAAAGTTGAGATAGGGACATGTAAACCGTTTCGACGAATAATAAACAGTTTTGACAGAAAAAAAATCCTGAACTTGGAAAATCTCGATTTTGCACATCCTATATGTCAGTAACTTTCACTGCTAGACCCTAAGTATGATGGGTCGTTGAAATCAGATCTTCAGGGAGAATTCAAAAATGAAGTAAAATATAGGGTGTTCCAATTGAAAAAACATAGCTTTGATGTGCTGTGACCTTACGGAACACCCTGTGTATTTCAAAGAGATTTTGAAATGTGAAGCTCGGTTATTACTTCAATTTGAATGCAAAACTTTTTTTTGTATATCTCAAGACAACAGAGGTATCGAACTCTGGATTCCTAGTTGGCCACCCTGTACAGTACAGTTTAGTGATTTAAGGTGTATTCTTCCAAAGGGGGTCAAATAAAATTAAATCACTTGGCGCCCGCTCAGTGAGTTTGCAGAATATAATTGTTTAATACCCAACCACGACTCCACTGAGTTATTTAGTCGGAGCATCCCCTTATTCAGGGCAGAGTATAATACTGATTTAAGGTAACAGTATATCTCATTTCTTCAGGTTAGTTTCAGATACAATTTATTGAAAGGTGTTGACAGATCGATATGACACAAAATTCAGTTATTTTAGGATGACACTATATTCATTGTTGTAAAAGCAAAATATAATCCCTTGCTTGCTCAGTAATAAACGTTTATGATTGATAGTGTCCAAGTCTAGTCAAAAGCCAGATTTCGTATCGGACTTGCAGGAGATTCATCCATCACTGCTAGAATTGACCAATAAAGCCGCAGTCGACAACCAAGATTCCAGATTTGCCTAGATCATAATATATACACTTGAGCTATTGAAAATAGAATAATATTTCACTCAGTGATTTTTTGGCGGATGAAATTATCATCAGTATCACAAACTTAAAGAAACTTAACGAGTCCTTTCTAGGCAAGATCAAAAAGATCTATGAGTGCCACATTCCATTGGAGTAGTATGACGAAAATATAAAATAACTCACACTGGGGATATTGTCGTTGTTGCACACTCCTTCCGACAGCAACCGATCCCTGATCTCCCAAGCGAAAATAGAAGGGCACTCCCTCTTGAAATCAGCGATCTTGTTGACCACTGGAGTGGTGGCTACTCTCGGTTTCGATCCACCGATCGCCCTCGGCTTGATGGACCCCGTCTCATAATACCTGTAATCATAACTAAAATCAGCCAAACATAAGAAGATGGTGTCGTCAATCTATTACCTGCCGAGAATCTTCGACACGCAGCCGTTGGAGACCTGGAGGATCCTGGAAATGTCGCACGGTCTGGCACCACTGTGCGCGAGTTCGACGATTTTTTGGCGGGTCGAGTCCGGTAACGGCCGGCCGTTCACGTAGACACCGCCTAGTTGATTGATGCCGCTGTGGCCGGCCGAAGAACAGCCGAAGATCGTGTTCTGGCCCATCGTGTGGTGCATAAGGTCCTCTTCTGAAAAAAAGGAACCTGTTGAAACACTAAAATGTTATGTACGAGAAGTTGATTTTGACATTACTATTCAAGACAGATAAGTTTTTCATTTGTGATTGGGTAAATTCTACAACTGAATTGTCAATTAGTGGCTTTGTACATTATCCAAAGCAAATTATCTGGAATGATTCGAAAATAGTTATTTATGTACCAAGGACGAAACACAACATCCAGAATGCTACTTTCACAGATTGTTTGCAGAATATAAATTGATTTTTCGAAATACACTTTCATTATTTGTGTATACAGGGTGTTCCTTAATGATATGCTAATATTCAAGGGGCCGATTATTCGGCCCATTTCAAGAATAAAACTCCATATGAACGTATGTCGCAAACGTCCTAACTTTTGAGATACAGGGTGTCAATGTTGAAAATATGCATAGATTATTTTTTTGTCCACCCTGTATCGGTTTTCGTGATTGCAAAATTCAGTCTGCTATGTGACTATGACATTATGTATAGAGTTTGCCTTCGTCGAGTTAAATTGAGATTTGGATTGTGGGAATAACGACATTAAAAGTGGTTCAAATTTTAAAAAAATGTCATTCTCGGAATCCAAATGTCCATTGTTTGTAATGTATAGAAGTACATAAGGAAATAACTCATAACTTGATGAAATGACGAATGATGTCGAAATAGATCTGTGCTGAAAAATACAGGGTGTTCGATATGAAAATTTCTAATGAACGTCGTCTGAATCTTAGAATATTCAGAATGTAAATTTTAACACCCTGTAAAGGATCATCTCCCAGAAACACTGGATTGGTGTACGTGAGACCTTGCTTCTACTGGTATGCCGAAAATATTTTCAGAATTTCAAGAAATGAATATATCATACCCAATTCAACATGACCCTTCAATAATTGTATTAAAAATTGGTTCATCAATTATAACTTCGCAACGCCGCAACCAAATTCAATTTTTTTACAGCGATATAGAGCTGAACCTTAGCTGAATGTATTTCGAATAAAAAATACTGGGTGTTCTATTTAAAAAAAACCGTCTCCGAGCCGTCCCGCTTTTATAAAACACCCAGTATTATTGCAAATATTTTTAAAATGGAGACCTTCAATAACAGGAGGAATTTATTTCCACAAGTTTTTCTCTAGTGGTAATGGATTTCGAGATATCCAAGAGTTACGAACTAAATGGACACACTGTATACTCATGTATATAGGACTCGGGACAACGGAACAAATAATGAGATGAAAAATGGAAATACTGTATGTAATTGTTGAGGTGGAGTTTTCTTGAATCCTGCTCATAACTATATTTTCAAAAGGCTTCTTCTTGGGGTTTGGATTCAGGTTTGAAATGAGTAGGTAATCAATTGCATCAAACCCAATAGATAACTTACTTCAAACCTGAATTCCACCCACAAACAAGTTTTTTAAAAAACTAATAAGCTTCTAGAAAGACCCTCCTCAAGAAGCCTATCATATTCCTTTTGGAATATTGGAATATTCTAGAAATAATCTGGAATATTCCGGAATATCTGTGGAATATTCTCTAAATATGCGAATGGGAATTCCTCAGATAATCATAGAATATACCCAAAAGAATATTCTATGTTGAATGTTCCTGGAATATTCCGATAAACATATTCTAAAATAAAAAAAAGTGACCCAAGTAGGGATCGAACTCGTGACCTCAAGACTATAAGAGCAACGCCTTGACCACTAGGCCAGTAATCGAATTGAATAATGTTATACATATCAAGTTCTTGTGAGAGCATTGTTCGAAATCGGATCATAAACACTTTTTGTTTCAAAATCCCCTTACATCTAATAATTGATGTTCGATACTCACATCTCTGAAATAATAATTGGTATTTATGTGTTGAGAAACATAGGAATATTCATGGAATATTTCATGAATATACACCACAGAATATTCAGTTGAGAATATTTCATGAATATACCGCACAGAATATTCAGTTGGGTATATTTCATGAATATACAACAGAGAATATTCACTAGGGAATATTCCTGGAATATTCATACCTGAATATTCCCTGAACATGTCCGACTATTCACTTTGGAATATTCCTTTTAGATGTTCCAGAGGCATGTATATATTCTAGGAATAATCGATGAATATTCGGAATATACTCCTCCTTTTTAGCATATTTAGAGAATATTCTATGAATATCCAGTGCTGTCTGGGAGTACGTGCGCGGTATTTCCATTTTTCATCATATTATTGGATCCGATGCGCCAAGTCCTATATACCCGAGTCACAGAATAATTGTTGAGTATTCTGTGCCCGAGTATCTCACTATCCAAATCCGAATCTGTTCATTCGCTTCTCTTCAGCGGTTCACGTTTCGGTACGTCCTCAATTCGGCATGTAATGTTAAGGTTAATGCAATTTGAACGCTGAGTGTCGCGAACTACGAATTACCGAGTCAACAAAGAGACGCCATTTTCACAAGTTCAGAATAGAGCACAGGACCAGAACGGGAACGGACTATTGAAGAGGAGAAGGAGACAAGGGCACAGAAAGCGAGAGGATAAGATATTCCACTGGGAGTGGTGTAAGTGCATCAGACTGCTGGTCTTTGGAGTTTGTGTGTTCCCAGACCATTCTCCGGAGATTATGAATCGAGATTTCGGGATCGGTTTCATTTCGGTGGCTTCTTGCTGAATGGATTCCGCTGATAGATTTTATTCTTGAGAGAACGTATTGAATCAAATACTAGAACCTCGATGGAAACAATAATGATCATTGCATTTTTCAATCATTTACCAAACATATTTTTTAACGGCTCAACACATCCTTCGAACTAATAATTGTCCATTCCTGTCTGGTTCTATGTACTAGATCGATTTTTTAACCCCAAGTACTTATATGTAGATACAAAAAACTCAATGAGGCTTTCAAAGACTCGGACTGAATCAGGTATTCCTAAATAGAAATGAGCCCCATTAAAACAACATCAGGAATTCAAGATTTCAGTTGCGATAATTGCGGAAAATGTAATGTAAACGATAAAATAAGAGAACCATGGAGACTAACAATTAGAGTAACATACTAAAAAGTCAATTATTATAGCCGATCACAATACATCAGGAACAAGGGGCTATTGATCAAACAAATTAGGGGTATCAGAAGTAGAATTTAAAAACCCAAAAAATTATGATGAATAATAAAAAATAAGTGGGAGTTTCTTCCTCACTGTCATAGTTATTTAGACATCAGACTTTTGATTCGAAGTATTTATAGTTAGTTTCATTAATGGTCTAGTGAACCCATTTCACATAAGTTGAATGAGGCATCTGGTTTGTTGACTCAAAAGAAACATGGTGTTTTGAGTGAAAAATCAAACTAAAAAGTTTGATGAGGCATCAAAATCAGCTTGATAAAGTGAAAGGATCACATATGCGTGAAACTGGAGGTTATACAAAAATTGACATGACAAACGTCAGAAAATTTGAAATGTCAAGTCGAGAAAATCATGGAACATAAAGATACATCAAGTAGAATATTATTATGATATGAGCAGTGAGCACACAATACCAGAGACCAATGTGATCTAGTGTTTGTTCTCTGGTATTGTGTGCTCACTGCTCAAATCATAATAATATTCTACTTGATGTATCTTTATGTTCCATGATCTGCTTGACTTGACATTGAATCATAATCCCTCTTCACACTAGAAGTTCTGTGATGTACTTTTTGAAAGCATCCTCAGTAACATATCGATGGTGAGAACCCAAAAATATAGGCAAAAAACAGCAATATATCCACCTCAGCATTTAATTGCTGAAGGTGCGATTTGAGGGCTTCTATAACTCCACACTTGGGAGAAATTTAATTCTTTTGTTCACTCGATTCAGATTCAGAAGAAGTTATTTCAATAAATCAAGTGAAAATTTCAAGAGAAACTTCCTCTGAGTTTGTGTTTATAATGTGAAAGGGAATAGGAGTAAATTTAATCCTTAACAAAGATTTATACCAGAGACAGTGCGTCGCAAATGCGTACAAGCGCGAACACTACTTTCAAGATAGGATTTAATCTATGTCCTATTTTATGCTTGCTCGAGCATGATTTACTCTGAATTCACACAAGAGATTACTGAATAGACTAGAATCCTGAAATTAAACAAATTTATTCTGTGCCGTTAATCGTTTATCTAACTTGCGGAACTTGGATGAATTAAAGCTTTGATATATTTTCGATGTTGCTGTTTCTTTAGATGTCCTTAATCCAATTAACTGGTTTTGTTTTTCGGCATCTACAATAGTGTCAAAAAAGGGGGGTTGATTCCTTGTGATGAACAAACGAATTTGATGATCAAGATATTCTCATACACACATGTAGAAAAAATCTACAACATAAAGGTCTCACAGTTTTTTATATACTTACTTATTTTTCACGAATACATAGGAAACAATAGTATTTTCTGTGCCACTGATGGTGCAATTCTACACTCTAATATTCTTTTTTCCGTAAAATATTTCTGAATGATCATTCTTCCATACATTGATGGAGCATTCTTTCATACATCAATATTTTTTAAACAGGGTGATTCATTAAGTAATTAAGTATTGAAAAGGAACATTCTCAGATATATTTATATGAACACAAAAAATGGATATATATATAAAGAAGGGGAAGCTTTCGTGACTGTTCTATAATAATATTTTTGGAAATATTAGTGGGATGCAGTCTGGACCAATGAATTAATTAGATTTCTTCGTTATTTGTCGAGCTTTCGAAAATTTTTATTTTCTTTAGAAATCTAATTAATTCATTGGTCCAGACTGCATCCCACTAATATTTCCAAAAATATATATAAAGAAATACATTGAGAATTCGCATTCTCCATGTGATGAAAATATTGATTCTTTCTCGGTTTATTCAACAGAAAACAACTACTTTCCTGGCTATATGCCACGACGAATATTGAATTACATCTATTGAACACACACG